AAAGCCACAGCCCATAGTCGCCAGCTCGCCGGAACCACGCCGCCATCCAAACGTTGGGGAGCCACCGACCCAGACCCTACTTGGCGATCTGGAAAGCGACGAATCCAAGAGGGCGAATTGACGCCCCACACAAGAGAAGGAAGCCTCCAGTCCGATGAGCTTTCGAAAAACGGACGAACGGCGCAGTGATGGTTGCCGTCGATATGGCCCGAAGGCCATGTTGGAGGAAGGCACGATGTGCAGCCGAGGGTTTGAAGCTTCTAATTTGGGGATTTTGTTTTCGTAGAGAGAGAAACGGAGGTGGAGTAAAGAAAGTCTACAAAGTTCGAAAGTGGTGTGGCCAGTGTTATAGAAAAATGTCGTCCTTTGTAGCCACCACGACGAGTCAGTATTTGGTCCTTTCATTTATTTATTATTTTTTATTGAAACTCGTGGGTTAATTCTCGAAACTCGATTTATTTAGGCTAGAGGTGGCCAAAAGCCTAGGCCGGTTCACGGCCCGGCCCAACTACATCTAAGGGTCGGCCGATTCATTGAACCGACCCAACCCAGCGGTTTATTGAACTGCCGGTTTAAAAAATATTATAAAAACCCAGGTCTGGTCCAGTCCAGCCCGACGGGTCAGAAAGGAGTACAACACGACCTGTAACTGGCCCTTAAGAAGTTTTGGGCCGGTCCAAAAACCGCCTAGGGAGGACCGGTTTCGGGCCGGTTCACAGGCCGGGCCAACCATGGTCATGTCTAATTTAGGCTCGTACTTGTAAAAAATGAAATATATATATATATATATATATATATAATTTTTTTTTATAAATCAAATTGTTAATTCATTAACTCATTTAGTTGACGAGTCGAAATGAGCTCGGCTATCTCAAGTGTACCATGAGTTCGAGCTCAACTAATATGTAGCTTTACACAACTTGTTAGGTTCAATTCAACTCTTTGATTTTTTGTAAGCTTATTGAGTAATGAGATTTGCAGATTGAAGAGAGAAGCAAAAGAAAACGAGATGAATCTTATTTCAGATAAGAAGAGGAAACAATTGTATAAAAGTGTCCTGAGTGATTAGGGTTTTCACCCTTATATACTAGCTCTTCTAATACAAGATAAGAAGTGCTAAACCTTACCACACGTTTTTACTAAAGGAAAAATACACCTTTGGTATAAAATAATGAAAATTACAAAAATAAAAGAAAACCTATCATATATTACCCCCGCAAGTTGGGATGTATGTTATACATGTTTAGCTTGGAAGAGATGTGATCAAAAGCTGTCGTGAACAGTGGCTTGGTAACAATGTCTGCAAGCTGGTCTGTTGGGGAGACATGACTGAGAGAGATGATGCCTTTATTCACCTTTTCTCTGACCAAATGGCAATCTATTTCAATATGTTTTGTCCTCTCATGCAAAACAGGATTATGAGTGATGGGTCCGCTCTTCAGATCTAGAGTGAACCGGTGGAATAGAGCCCAGATCTGCCTAAATCGCTCTCGAACCGTTGTTGGACCGCGAGAATATCAGCAACAACTCAATGTCGGAGGGGCTTCCGGCGTAGAGCCTCCGACGCTCAAGTGAGTATGTGAGAGAGAGATGGAGAGAGCTGCTCTGAGAGAGCAGCAGCAATGGAGGAGAGTATAGAATGAATGGGAGTTAGGGTTTAGGGTTACCTCAGCTCCTTTATATAGAAGCAGAACATTTACATGAAGTTCCCAAAATGCCCTGGCCGACATACTAGAAATGTCTAAAATACCCTGGTCGGTTCGCATTCCATCCGTCTCCTAGTCAGCATCTAGACTCCTTCTTATTTTTAATAACTTCTTTATGATATGTTGAAGTATATAGGAGTCGTCGGAGATCTATGAACCTCGAGACGTCCTAAGTCGACTCGGGATATCGACTCGAGTCAACTTAGATCATCCTCAAATGCCGGTAGATCATGATGTGCCTATCCGTCTTTCTGAAGGGAGTCGACTTTTGTTAGTTGACATCTGGAGGTTAACTGAGAAAATAATCCGGACCCTGTTAAATCGGAGGTAATACAGGAAGTTCATAGGAAGAATCGACTTCAGAAGAAGTCGACTCGATATGGTCGACTAGGGTGGGTCGACCACGTGCTTGTCATTTGATTTGGTTTTTAGGTCTAAACCGTTATACGACAGTATGGCTATATCATCTAGTCCCCCAAAGATTAGTCGAAGCGATTCTGAGCTTAAGAGTAAATTTGTCGATTCAATAGTTAGCCTAAGCCTTTCCGCATACTGCGCTTTACCATACATGGCTACCTGGAATCGAATCCTTATAAGGTTTCTTCTCAGTCGATTTCTTGTTTCCAGTCGTCTTCATTTGCTTCTCGACTCGCGAGTAGCTCTTTTACTTGTACAAATTTCCGCATTGATTGGATAAGCTCGGACTTTCCTTCGAATTTCGAAATTCAAAAAGATTTGAAGTCTGACAAGACGTTTCTCTCTCCATCGCTTCGTATTCCATGCACCATCTTAACCGTTAGATTTGACTTTAATCTGAGGGCTATGGTTTCTCTACCCTCCCTATAAGTATTCCCCTCCTTTCCTTGCCTTCACTTTTCGCACTCAGATTTTCCAAACTCTCTTCTTCTCCGGCAAATAAAACACCACAAGCTCTCCAACGCTCGCTTCATTTTCCGACGTCCTTCAAGGATTATTCAGGATTTCTTCGTCAATCATCATGTGTAAGTTCTCTTTGCCTTTTGATTTATTGCTATGCGCGGTTTTTGATTTTTTTTGTTTTGCTTTTCTGGGTGATATGCTTGAGATTCATAGATTCACCAGATTTTCTGGGATTTCTAGATGATTTTTTGGTGATTTTCCTTTTTTAGATCTTCAATTGTGGACTTCTCGTTTTCCTAAGCATTTTCGCTCGTTAGTCAATTTGATATGAAAACTTGACTCTTTCGATTTTCTACGGATTAACTAACCATCGAATTGACATTCTTATGTCAAGTCGAGTCGAATCAGGAATGACATGTTTCCCTCGTTCCTTCCCTTCTTTTGTTCTTCTTTCGAGTCATCTCGCGCGTTCTCTTCGCTCCTTCATTGACTTGCTTCTTTTGAAGTCAAATCGCGGTTTTAATTATCCACATCTATTGATTGTCGTTCTCTTTTTCTTTTTAGATTCTGACTCTGACCCCGTTTCTGAATCTCTTGCCCGCGAAATCGACAACTACTCGAGTTCCGACTCTGTACAAATAATATCTGTTGGACCGAGTGCTGGCCTAAATGTCGAGCCAGAGAATTCTATTCATTCCACTGCCTCATCTTTCGGAGTCGACTGGGATGCGTATAACCAAGCATGGCTATCTGGTACACTAAATGAGGACCCTAAGGCTTCTCGTACCCCGAGGTCTCCTCGACTTAACCTAATCCCTTGAGGTATCCCTCTTAGGTTGTTAGATATCCCTGTGTATAAAACGAGTCCTGTTCATTCATTAATAATAGCTCCTTCAGTCGAGCCTGTAACTTTAGCCTGTTCTGTAGTAAAGTTAGTTGTTCTTAACCCCTTTTGTTATGCCCCTGCAGCCGAAATCGATGGCTTCAGGGAATACAGTGGTCTTCCTTTCGATTGGGCGTTGGTTGCCCCTACACCCTCTGATGACTTCAAGCATCCTTCTCGCGGCTGCTTCACCTTTTTTGTTGATCAAATAATGTTGGGACTTTGCTTCTCGATTCAACATGAGCTGTTGTCACTGAGCAACCTGTATGATGTGCCCATAAACTAGTTCACCCCTAACTCCATCCGAATAATGGTGGCCTTCATAATCGTCACTCGAATAGTCTTAGGTAGTTTTGTACCCGATTTTTTCCTTTACTGTTACGGGTATAGGTTTAGCAAAGACGCCCATTGTTTGGGTCGTCGCGTAGGTGTGTCTTTTCTTGACGACCTCTCTTCCAATATTACCGAATGGAAGAGGAAGTATTTTTTCATTCGACCTGCTCCTGGTCAATATCCTTTCACAAATGAGTGGATCACCAGCAAGAAAAAGCAACGCAAGCGTCCCAAACTCCTCGCAATTTGCGGCTATGCTGGAAGAGTTGAATAAGCACACATGGAGTGCTTGTTGACTGACTAAGGATAGCTCCCTTCTTAATCATGTTGGGATTTGTGTTGACAAGAGTATTCCTCGACTTAGTGATCCTCGTAAGCTCTTCATTATTTCAGTCTATGTCTCGACTTGCCATCAATCATCTGGCCACTTTTCTTTTTCTTGTTCGGCGCGTATATATTGGCTGCATATTATTTTTTATTGATTATTTCTTTCTATGTCGACAGTGAAAGCTTTAGCTCAATTCGAGAAGAAGAAGGGCCAGGCGACCGACAAGTCAACTGCTTCTGCTCCTTCGAAGAGACCCAAGGGAGTCTCGGGTTCTGGCTCAAAAGCTGTGGTAGTCAAGACAACTGCCGCCAAAAAGTCTAAGGTCGTGCTTCCTTCAGCCTCTAAGTCGACTCAGCCCTCGGGTTCCCATTTCCGCAAAAGGGCCCAAGATCAGAGTGACATGACTTTGGTGCCCAGCTCCCTCAAATGCCAGAAAGGGAAGGATCCGGTGGTCGAGAAGGATGCGGGGCAATCGTCCCCCGTGAGGGTGCAGCCTGTGACTCTGCAACAGCCTTCTCGGCTTTATGACAACCCCGACCCCCTTCAAATTCTCAATTATCTCCATTCGACTCTCCCCGAGGACGACAAGACCTGGACCGATG